AAAAAAAAAAAAAGAAAAAAAAATAAAGACGTATTCTAAAAAAACTGAAAGTAAAGTTTTTTTTGATTTTTAGTGTAATTGTATATTCAGCTTCTTTTATCAGAGCAATTTTAATCAGTTTGAAAAAGAAATAAGATTCTTAATCTACAGTAAAGTTAACTTCACAAAACAAAGCTGACAACAGAAAGTGCTTTCAAAAGAAATATATTGTCAACGAGTGGAAAATTAAATAGAATAAAAATAAAAATGATTTAAGATCTTTTTTTCCAATAGAAAGACGAGAATAAAAAAACAGTGTTTATTTTAAAAAAGGAAAGGTTCGATTGTTGGAAACAACTGATGTGTTCACAAGTCAAAAACTAAACCTAATCAATCACTTCTAATTTGTATTTCACTTTCAATTACTGTTTTCACAAGCACTTAAAAGATACTTTTAACTTCGTAATAATTTGCGCTTTTTTTCAGACGGTGTAAATTTAGCAAAAGTTTTGAATAAAGCAATGATTTTTAAATATTCTTGATAGCTGTCTCGCTGCTAATATTTTTTTAAATCTGATGTCGACTTTTTATTAATCTATACATTTCCAGCTGTTAAACAGCAAAATTTCTTTGTAAGCAGTACAGAGAGTGCAAATCAGAAATTTGCTCCACGTTCAGATGATGCTCTTTTCAGAGATTTGTTTATTTGAAAAAAGATGAAATATTTCTTACAACAAGCAGTTACCGAAAGTTCGGATGGAGAAGTATCTTAGCCTTAGAAGCACAGTAATATTTTGCAACAAGCTAAGCTCAGTAGAAGTTTAAGTTTACAAGAATTAATTCAGTCATAGCACGATAATCATCTCTAAGCATCTGTCGCTGCATTGTCGCTGCTAGTTGCTAATCTCTTCTGCTGTACAATGTCTTTTCTAATGTCATAGATGCTTGGTCAACTAAAAGTTTTTCCTTTGTCAAACAATCAGTTTCTCCAATGCAATCGTGAAGTTGCCAGTCGCAGTAAGAAACAGTTCTTGGGCTAATCTCTAGTTTTTAGTTTAACTGTAGAAGAAAAATCATACCGTTGAATAGGAGAATGCATTAAACCTCGTTGCTTGATAGCAGTAACTTTTTAAGCACAGGTATGACTTTTGTTTACTGACAGATGCGGCGAAGATGGTAACGAAATGAGTGATATGGAGAACCAGAAGAAATGCAAGAGAATAATTCGTTTCATTTACCACTTCAATTTTATAGCCAAAAACAAGTAGTTTACTAACTATTATAGTACCTCTTCGTGAATGTGTGCACCTTATTTTTCCGCATCAACAGCGGAAAATTTTTACTTTTATTTTAATTTTTATTGTTGGAATATTAATCTTCATTGGTTTTTGAGTGATATTAAGAGAAACAAAGCGGTAAATTTGAAGAAAAATTTATTTACAGATTCTTGAAATATTTTAGTTTTTCATTTTCTTTTTTGTTTTTTAATAAAATTGACTGTTTTATTGTCACAATAGAAGTAAAGAAAACAAAAGTGATCTAATTCAAAATGTAATTTTTTTAAAGACGTGTAACGTGCACTTTGATGCCTGAAGCGCATTAATAAAAGGCACATTTCAGGCTCAAAGCTGTTGGTAGGCAAGCTCAGGTTTACAACAGTTTGTCATTTAGACAGATTGTCCAATTCAACAGTTTCTATAAGTTTATTTTTTTTCAGCTTTTGTCATAAACAATATAATGTTGCGAAAATTTCAAGTAACCTTATCCTTCTTTAAAATTCTTCTAAAACTTAAGAAGAAAGGCAGAAATGATTGGAGTAATCATACCGATACTGCATCGTTGTTTTTTAAATTTAGCTAAAAAATTTTTTCAGGAAAAATGAGGTGCATTGAACAATTGCAGAGCTCTTTTGCAGTTGTCGATGACATCATGAAGAGAGTTTATAAAAACTGAAAGTAAAAGCTGAA